TCTCTTTTGTATCTGGCTTCTATAGCCCAACATTACTTTTGTGAAGTTTCATATTGTTCTAGATAGTTGTAGTTTATTTACCCTTGTTGCCATGTAGCATTACCTTGTGTAAAACATTCCACAATTTAGGGTCGCCTGAGTGGCTCGGTCATTAAGCGGCTGCCTTCAGCTCAGGTCATGATCCCAGAGTCCTGGGATTGAGCCCCACATCATGCTCCCTGCTCAGCACGAAGCCTGCTTCTCCCTCTGCCTGCCACTTCCCCTGCTTGTGTTCCCTCTCTCGCTGTGTCTCTCTCTGTCAAATAAATAAATAAAATCTTAAAAATAAAATTCCACAATTTATTCATTCTACTGCTGATGGGGCATTTGAGTTGTTTCAAGTTTTCTACCACTATGAATATCGCTGATAGAAACATTCTTGCTCATATCTTTAGATGAACAGATGTCTTTCCATAATATATAAGATATTACATATACATGGATATATGGATATGTATACACATACATACATACACATTGGGTGGAATGTGGCACATTTTTCAATTCCCATTTTTCAGATGAGAAACAGAGGCTTGAAGAAGTTGACCAAGGAAGTAGTGGGACATGAGCTGGGATATGAATCCTATCCTGTCTGGCACTGGAGCTCAAGTTCTCTAGCCATCATGCTTTACTGCCTTCCAATGCACGGGCCATTTAAAAGTATTCATGATGCTGGGGCGCCTGGCTGTAGAGCATGTGACTCTTGATCTTGGGGATGTAAGTTCAAGCCCCATGTGAGGTGCAGAAACTACGTAAAAATAAAACATTTTTAAAAAGATTTTATTTATTTATTTTATTTTATTTATTTATTTGACACAGAGAGAGAGAGAGGGAGAGATCACAAGTAGGCAGAGGGTCAGACAGAGAGTCAGAGGAAGCAGGCTCCCCGCCGAACAGAGAGACCCATGCAGAGCTGGATCCCAGGACCCTGAGATCATGACCTGAGCTGAAGGCAGAGGCTTAACCCACTGAGCCACCCAGGTGCCCCAAAATAAAATCTTTAAAAAAGAAAAAAAGTACTCATGATGTGCCAGACTGGTTGCTGCTATTGAGGGAGATAAAAAGATAGGAAGGCACAGTCACACAAGAAAGAAAATGATAGATGGGTGTGATAGGAGTCTGAGGGAAAGGGGGTTAATTTTATCTTGGAAGATCACAGGAGGCTTCCTAGAGGAAAAAACATCTAAAGAGAAAAGGCAAGGGGCAGATTCTGGGCATGCCAGGGTGATGAGGGAAGGAGTGCCAGGCTGAGAGAGTCTGGGGGCAGAAGAAGAGGAAGTCCTCATAGAGTCACAGCTGCAAGGGTCCTCAGGGGTCACCTTGCCTAGTCCGCATTGTCCACACATCCATTTCTACATTGCTGGCTTCCAAATTGATATACTCAGTCTTGACCATTACCCTGCTCTCTAAACTCTTTTCTATTTAGTTGGATGACAAACAGGCATCTCAAATTAAGATTGCCAAGACAGGGCTCCTGACTTTGTCCCCACACACTCTAAACTGCTCCTCTTCCCATCTTTCTTGTTCTTTGAAACCACCAGACACTAACTATTCAGGCCTCCAACAGCATCATCATGCTTTCTTGCTCCGTTTCCCTACATCCAATCCATGAGCATCTCCCATCAGCAATATCTACGAAGCATACCCTGAATGTGATTTCTCATTACCACCTCCCCACTACCACCCTGGTCATGATTACCATCACCACTCATCTGGATGACTGCAACAGCCTCCTTCCTGCTTTCCCTGCATCCACGCTCCTTTGGAAGGCCACAAAGAGAAGCCTTCTTTGCCTCTTACAGGTTCTGGTGGTTCCAAATGTTCCTTGGTTTGGGGTTTCCTAACTCCAGTCTCTACCTCTTTCTCCATGTGGGCTTCTCCTCTGCACCTTCTCTTCCAATTATTGGTGACCTCCTTTTATTGGTCATTAAATTTAGGGTCCACCTGGATAATCCACAATGATCTCATCTTAAGGTCCTTAATTACATCTGCAAAGATCCTTTTTCCAAATAAGGTCACATTCATAGGTTATGGATGGACACATCTTTTATGGATCCATCATTTGACTGAGTACAGAGGTGAATCTCAGAAGCTAAGAGAGTTTAAATTGAGTTTAAGCTTTAGTTCTCCAGTGAGTGATTATTTTTCAAAGCGTGTTAGACTCTCAGCCTGCACAAACTTTAAAGGGAGTGTCTGCGTTGTGTTTGCTGCAAGGCTAACTTGGGGTCATGAGTCTAGCCAGGGACCTTGCCACTACCCCAAACCCACCAGATCATTGCTGGGGGGTATAGCCAGTGTGATTAAGGGCCAAAGTAATTTCCTTCTGAAAAATGATCTTCCCAAAGAGAGCTAGCTACCAGCTATGCTGGTAACAAAAGGAAAAAGATGGGATCCAAGAAAGTGCTGGTTTTGACCAAAGATGGGGTAGGTAACCATCCCCAGTGGTTCTCCCCTTCCTGGTTTTTATGCCCTTGTGTAATCCCCTCCCCTCAAGCATGGGCTGAGGCTACAATACAGTAAAAGTGTCAGGATCATTTCTAAAATGTCCGTGGCTTCTGTATTGCTCACCTTTTCTCACTCTCTAGCTTTCTTTCTCTGAGGGAAGCCAGCTCCCATGTCGAGCTGCCCTGTGGGGAGGCCTACATGACAAGAAACGAGTCGCTCCTGCCGATAGCCTACAAGAACCTGAGGTCCTTGGTCCAGCAGCCCGCAAGGAACTGAAACCTGCCAACAACCTTGTGAGGAGGCTTGGAAGTGGACTCTCTGAGGCCCGTGGACAGTCAATGAGTGAGCTTGGAAGCTGATCTCCCCGCCCCAGGTGACCTTCCCAGTGATGCAGCCTTGGCCAACACTTTGGAGCTTGTGGAAGACCCTGAGCCAGATGACCCACGCTGAGCCATGCCCAGATTCTTGCCCCCACAAAAACTGCAAGATGATAAGACATTTGTCAGTTAAGCCACGACGTTTTGGAGTAATTTACAGAGCAGTGATAGATACATTCAGAAATAAATTCCGAGGATATATTCAACCATGTTGAAGCCTTATGCTATAACTAACTGTGTTTACAAATTTGAGGATTCACAGATATTAGCTCATATCCCTTCCCAAGAATCCTACAACACCTCCACCCACTCCTTTTCTTTTTCTATTTTTAAATAAACATAATATCAAACTATAGTGACAGTTACACATTCTATTTTTTTCTGCCTCATGTGTTGAGCGTTTCCCCATCTCATTTACTATTCTTCAAAGCATTCTTTTTTCCTCACATCTCTTCAGCGGCCCATTATAGGAATGCATCAAAGTTAATTTAGTCACTTCCCTCCCTCTTTTATGTTTTGAGCTTAAGGTAGGGTTTTAATGCCTTGGGTCACATTGATGAGTATGTGCCGGCCCCTTCAAGCCAGGCTCATGGGAGGAGTATGGGGTAGGTAGAAGGCAGGATCATCTGTGTTTGATGAACGTAGTGCTCCTGATGTCCCATCAGGTCTATGCCACTTCCTGGCTATGTGTCCTTGGGCTTGGTACTTAACACTCCCAGGCCTCAGTTTCCCCTTCTGAATAGTGGGAGTAATGCCCATACCTACCTCACAGAGTTATTAGAGGCCTTTTAGAGGCATAACCTGGAGTTAACCCAGCACAGTATCTGACAAATTTTAGGGTATATGGACTCAAGCCAGGCCACAGTATCCTCACACACACACACACACCCTACTCCTTGTTGAGTCCTGGTGCACGGTGCATTATATGGACTCTCATTCCAGACTCTAGCTGACCCCCAATCAAAGGCACCTTGGCTTTCCTCCCACCAGCCTGCTCTCCGTGAACCTGTGCTGACCCCGGCTGTGGCACCATCCACAATCCTGCAGCCATCACACTTGGTCTAGTTGTGTGGTCCTGGGCAAGTTCAGCCCGGCTCTGGGTCTCAGCTTCCTCCTCTGCGATATTCAGAGGGGGTTAAAGGGAAGGTGTACGAGGGATTGCCCACCTCTAAATAGAGTTTAGAGGAGGATTAGTCTCTCTTCTTTCAAAGGCCCTTCAGTTTCAACCGTGCCGAGTACGACCAGAGATTTAATGAATGGGCAAAGGCAAAAAGAATCGGAAAACACTTTAATTTATTTACCATAACATGTGTGCCGAGACTTGTGCTCAGTGTCCTGGAGTGTGTCAAATACCAGCATAGTGTCTGTTTACATGTGTGTGAAAATCTGGGGCAAGATTTGGGGTTTCTCATCTCAGGCCTGTTACAGAGCTTGTCCTGAGTCTGAGTGAGAACCCCTCCCCATAACCCCATCCCAGCGATACTGCAGCTGAGCTCCTGCCTGGGAGAGGCAGGGAGCTATTGGGGAATAGCCTGGAGAGCTGACCTCGGAGAATCTTCCAGAGGTCTTGGTATGGCTATGGGTGCCCCTCCTGCAGAAATCCCTGGAGGATTGAGGGGGACTGTTCCAGGCTTCTCCAGGCAACTCCAGACTACAGGTTCAGTTCCTTGACACTGAAAACACTGCTAGGGGAGAAAGAGTCCACTTCCAGGCCTTCTGGGCCCCTGCCTGGCCTCTCCCCATCCAGGCTTGGACTCTGGACTAGCCCCAGCTAGGGCGGGGTTTCAGGAACTGTCCGTGGCTCTGGGAATCGAAAACCAGAAGACAAAGCTCCTCCCTGCTCCCAGCACGTAAACGTCCTCATACCAGCCCCCAGTTTCTAGGACTTTAGCTCCTAGGGTGCCCAGGTCAGGATCCCACCAAGAGAAGGAAGAGCAGATGGTGGTGTTTCAGGTCCCAAAAAAAGACTTTGTGACCTTGGGCATGTCACATGGCTTCTCGGGCCTCTGTCTCTTTATCTAAAAAGGTAGAGTGATCATCTGGATTTTCGCGGAATGACCATGAAGTTGAAATAAGATAACGGCTGTCACAGGGCCCAGGGGAGCGCTGGGCAACAGCGATGACGTTATTTTCCTGGTGAAATGGTGGGCCAGCTGGTCAGCCAAGAAAGGCAACCTCCAATGGAAGACGAGGAGATGCCTGTGTGCTAAGGCTGCTACTTCAGCCCAAGGAAGGGGCTAGCTCAGCTCCCAGGGATGCGTTAGAAGTGGACTTGAGCAGAGGAGAGCAGGGGGAAGGCCAAGAGGGGGTGGGGGCTGGGATCCACACCCAGCCCGAGCTGATGTGCAGTTGAGAGCACCACAGGCTTGTGCTCCTTACCCTGCAGGCAGGCCAGCCCCAGAGCCACTGAGAGGTTGTCAGGGGAGGACCCCAGCTTCCCGCTGGTGGGGTGCTCCATCACAAGGGGTTGTAGAGGGCCACATAGGGCTGGGGTGCTGGGCAGTAGGGTGTCGAGCTCAGAGGAAGGGCTTGGAAGGCTGGAGCCAAGGGGTGAGGCTGACTGGACAAGGCTGGGGGACGGCTGGGCAGGAGGTGTGGTAACTTTGGTAGAGCCGAGGGACAGAGAGGGCAGAGGGGACAGGGGGAGGCCAGGCGAACTGTGAGGCTGCAGATCTGGAGAGAGCCGGTGAGCCGAGGGAGAGGAGACTGGGGTCTGGAACAGGCCCAATGGCTCCTGGCAGTCGTGTTGTTCATGGAACATGGGGTACGGTGGCCGCTCCGTCTGGCCCCAGCCGCCAGGGGTCACTGGAGCCAAGCAGGTGGCAGAGTCCACGAGGCACATGCCCTCATGTGTGTGCAGGGTCCGGCTCCACCACGCCAGCTCGGCCTGCAGGGCCTGGATCTCCTTCCGCAGCACATGGTTTTGCTTCTCCAGGGTCTCGTGCTGCTGGGGGCAGAAGCAGATGGGTGGGGGAGGGGATGTCAGCCAGCACGTGCCTTGTACCCTGCCCCCAGCATCCTGAACTTAGGGTGAAAGGTATACTGCCGTCCAAATGCCTGAGCTGGGGCCCCTTGGCTCCTCTCTGGCCGGCTCTCCCACAACCACCCAGCCCGTCTCTCCCATTCTGCTCCTACTGGGGCTCAGACTGGCCTGCACTCCAATCCCATCTCCAGTCCCCTGAGCCGACTGGTCTCCACCAGCTGGCCACCTCCACTCGCCTGAGAACTCCATCAGCCTCCTGACTGGGGCATCCCTGAAACCATCCTGTTCTCTTGGCCCAGAGGAACCATTTGGTAATTATGACATCAACTGTACGTCCAAGTTCAAGACCTTCAAAGGCTCCCATGCCTCCCTGTGCACCGTGGCCCCAGCTCACACCTCCAGCTGTATCTGTCTGACGTCTCCTGCTCCCCTGAACTTCCCGTCCCTCCGGTGGACTCTGCTTCTTCACATTTCCTGTCTCCTCTGCCCGCACACTCTGCCAGCACCTCCTCCCCTGGGCTAACCTTGACATGGCCTTCTCATGACAGCTAGGAGGTCATTCTGTCTTGCACACCTCTAGGCGGCTTCATGCCCTTGTCAGACCTCCCTAGCGCCCAGAACTGACTCACGGAGGCACTGTGGGAGGAGCCCTGGGTGGTGTTTGCACCAGAACGTTCTACTCGGCACTCCTGAACCAGCATCTGGTAGGTTCTGTTCTGCTGGACTCTGGGTCCTGCTTATCCACTGAGAGCAAGCAGTTTCTAAACGACCATTTATAGTGACAGCAATGAAAGAACTTTCTTTCCACAGCTCCAAAGGGTGAGTGACTTCCTCTGGTTCCCTCCCCTACATCACTGCTTTTGTGGACAATTTTTTATTTATCTTTTATTTTCCTTTTTTCCTTTATTTGAAAGAGAGAGAGCCTGCATGTGCAGGGGGAGGGGGAGAGACAGAAGCTCAAGCCGACTCCTTGCGGAGCACAAGGCCCCAGCCAGGCTCCATGTGGGGCTCGATCTCATGACCCTCATGACCTGAGCCAAAACCAGGAACCCATGGAGCCACACAGGCGCCCTTTTTGCGGACAGTTTTTAAAAGGAGAAGCCACAAGGGTGTTTTACATAAAAAAAGTTGCTGAGGGCATGAACACAAAATGCTAACATGCCTCAAAACCAACAGCAGCCCTACTCCCGGGCTGGTCTCTGCCTGTGGAATGATATTTTTAAAACCTGGCATTAGGTCACCTCTCATCTAAATTCTCCAAAGGCTTCAATTCACCTCCAGAAACGGAGTCACTCGCTGGGTCCCTCCTACGTTCACTCGCCACCTCCGGGCCGCTCACGTGTTACCTCCTCAGGGAAGGCGTCCCCAGTTCCATCACCCTGCCCTCCCTGCTCCCTTGTCTCTTCCCTGCTGTACTTGACCCCACAGTGCTCATCACCAGCTGACATCCCAAATCCCTCATGGATCATCTATTTTCTGTCTGGCTCCCCCATGAAAATATAAGCCCTGGGGAGTGTGGGGTAGGCTTTTGTCTGCTGTGTCCACAGCTGCATCGCCAATGCTGAGAACTGTACCTGCCACACGGGAGACACTCAATAGACCTTTCTAGAAGGAAGGAACACGTGAATGCATGAAGTCTCCACCCTGCCAGGACGGTGCCCTGGTTCTCACTCACACATGCTCATGCCAGCGCTATTTCATCTGCCGGCAATGCCTTTTCCTACCCTCATCCGTTTGGAAAACTCCTATGCATCCTTTAAGACTAGCTCAGACTCCATCCCCATGGACACCCCGATTCCGTGACCTGTGTGTTGCCCCACCCAGGTGCTCCTAGAGCGCTTTATTCTGACTCTATCATCTGCTCCACAGGGCACAACTGAGTTTCTTCTATTTATGGGGCCCTGTTCCAGGGATGGGGAAAGAGCAGGGGACAAAATCATTCCCTCCCTTCACGGTGCTTCCAGTCTGGTGAGGGAGACAAGCAACAGACCTCTAAAAACGTAAGTAAGAAAACTAGAGCAGAGTAACGGGTAGTAGCTGGGTCTGGAGATCGGGTGTTTTAGGAAAAGCCTTCTGAGGAGCTGACATTTAAACCAAAGAGCCGGAAAGAGTGAAGATCTAGCCGGACTGTGGTCTGAGGCTAGAGGGAATGGTCTCTGCAGAATGGCTGGGTGTGCGTGGCCAGTGAAGGAACAGGGAGAACAGGGTGTGGGGTTAAGGGGAGGAGACAGCATAGGACCTTTGGCAGGGAGGGTTGTGAATTTCACTCAGCGCCCTAAGGACTAAGGTGTAAGCAGCTTTCCCAAGGGCCAGGTCCTGAGCCCAGCTCTGAATCCCCTTCCCTGGGATGAAACGTGATGTCCTTTCTCTCTGCACAGAGGAAGAAGAAAAGCTCCAAGGGTCAGGTTACCACCCAAGGTCAAGTTACCATCCAAGGTTAAGAGGCAAGGAAAGTGGAGCCCCCCGCCTCCACCCACCGCCCACTGGGGTCTTTTGCCTCTTCTAGTCTCCACAAGGGTCCTGACTGTGGGCAGGGGCTGTGGTCCCCATTTTTGGATGAGGACAGGGAAGCTCAGCGAAGGAGGTAACTTGTAGGTATGAGTGCCACGGGCTGGGGCTGTAAAGCCAGTCCCTCTTCACCCTGAACCAGTTTCTCCTAGAGTGAGTGCTTGTCTCTTCTCCCTAGATCCGGGGCGCCTCAAGGGCAGGGCTGGGCCTTGGACACACCTTTGTGTCCCCAGAGGCCACCCCGAGTCTGGCACAGTTTGTACTCAGCACCTCTCTCCGGCTCAGGCGACCTGGAAACACACAACCGTGGAGGGGAAGCTGCTCACAGGCAAGGAGATAGGGATAGAGAAGAGGCAACTAGGCCAGGTAAGTGGAGTCAGGGTAGGGAAAGGAAGGCATCCCTGACCTGGTGCAGGGCATCCGCCTTGTCCGTGTGCTTCTGCCGGCTGCGCTGGGCCGCTGCGCGGTTCTTCTGTTTCTTCTTCAGCCTCTGATGCTCCTCGGGGTCCTGCAGGGTGTGAGGCAGAGAGCTCAAGGGTTCCGGCAGCTGCCTGCACCCTCTGACCTGGCCATCTGTAAAGCCACACCCTTCCCGATCCAATTCCCCAAGGGTCTCCCTTCTCCTAGAGGACCCCCTCTGGCTTCCTGGGCACCCACACACGGCATCGCTCGCGTGGTACACCTTGTTGCAACACCTGCCTCACCCACACATCCTGCTTACAGCTCCCGATGGGGGAGGACAAGCGGAGAAGCCCAAAGCCTCAGTTCGAATGCAGACAGCACTGACTTCACGCCTACGATCTCCTTAGCAGCCATCTGGCTCTGGGCAAATCGCTCCCTTCTCTGAGCCCCGCCACCTCATCTGTGCAAGAGCCATAAAGCAGGCGTGCGCCTCGTCTGCAAGGTCAGGACCAGGGTCCGATTCGGCTCCGTGAGCCCATGCCCAGCCCAAGCCCGAAGCTCATATTCAGGGACTCAACAGACATTTATGGAGCACCTACTGTATGCTGGGCACTGAGCGAGGGAGACAGAACCGCAAATCAAGCAGGCAAAAATCCCTGCCCTCCATTTGCTGACATTCTAGTGTGGCCGCAACCTGGAAGGAATGCATGAGTGGACCCGAAGCTCCCCAGCAGTGCCCCTCCCCTTCCCCTGGGCCCCACATTAGGGGGTCCTGGTCCATGAAACTTAGACAAGATATTTAACCCCAATGCCCAAAGTTTTGGAAGGTCAGGCAAGAGAGAATGTTGGAGCCCCACAGCCCAAATCCCCCTTCCCCTAGGTCACTCTGCAGGTGTGTTCTGAGTGTAGGGAGCTCAGATAAGACCCTGCCCTCCCTGGCTGAGGACTCCCTGCTGCTCATTTCATGGTCACTAGAAGACCATTGCAGGTGCTGGGAGGGCCAAGAGACTGGAGCCTGGTGGGGGAAAAGACCTGTGCTTGACAGAAGGAAGTGGGCTTCTGGTACTTGGGTCCTAGGAGAGGAACAGGGCCTCCAAGGGAAGCCAAGCCAGAGAATTTGGGGAGGGAAGAGAATGCTCTCATAAGGGCAGTGGGGGAGGGGTAAGCGAGGGGACAGCCCTATTCAGAGGCCACATTCTAAACGGGAACCTGGCTCTGCCCTGTGAGAGCAGGAAAGCCCACATTTCAATCACCTGGGGTTTATGTGGGTCCCCCGGTCACACTGCCCATAAGTACAGAGCTGGGACTAGAAGCTCTGAACACGTTCCTCCCTGCCTAGGAACTGGGGACGCTTGGTCCTATTCCCCTTCTCATCCCCTGTCCCTGGCTCCCTGTACTCACCGTCCTGGTCAGCAGCCCATTGCCCCCACAGAGGTGCATGGCTTAGGCAGGGGGTAGGCAGAGGCTCAGTTCGGGTGTCCCTCTGCCACTGTGACCTCCCAGTGCCCTCTGGGGACCCAAGGAAGTGGCAGCTCTTTAAATCCCCGGTGACCACTCCGCCCCCAGCAAACCAAGTTTCAGTTTCTTCTAAAGCCACCGGCTGCTCAGAATCCCTGGCTCGGGTTGGCTCACGTGGCTGGAATTTCCTAACACGAACTGGCCTTCCGGTTGGGTCCCTTTTCTGAAGGAGAATGAAGGAGGGTGGCCAGAGGAGGGGAGACCAAAAGCCTGTTAGGGGGAGGGTGTTCTGGGGGAGGGAGAGCAGGCGGCCAGGCACAGAGCCAAGAGGGGAAGCCAATGGGTAGCCGAGGGCTCATGTGGGACATGGGAGGGCCTCTGGGCTCTGGAATTGCCAAGCGTCCAGGTTTGCAGCCCACCTCTGGCCCACTGGAACTGCGCGGCTTTGAGAAGGTGATTCACCCTCTCTGAGTCTTAGTTTCCTCATCTCTAACCAGTGTAGGGGGATGGTACAAATAGCTATTCACAGTTTCACGGAGGAACCAAGCAAGACAATACAACCACCCCCAAACCCTCTGAGACCAATGTTGAGGCAAGTGTGCAAAAATAAGCAATGGCCCTTAAGTAGGAGAACAGATGGATAAATTACTGTGTTTTCATTCAACAGACCACGCAGCAGGAGAGGGAGTGGTGTCTAGCGGTTAGGAGAACAGCTTCCAAGCTATGTGACTTGGGGACATAATTTCACCTTTCTGGGGCGCCTGGGTGGCTCAGTCAGTTAAGTGTCTGCCCTTGGCTCAGGGCATGATCTCGGGGTCCTGGGTCAAGCCCCACATCGGGCTCCCTGCCCAACGTGGAGCCTGCTTCTCCTTCCCCTCTGTCTGCTGCTCCCCCTGCTTGTGCTCTCTCGCTCCCTCTCGCTCTCTCAAACAAATAAATACAATCTTAAAAAAATAAGAATTTCACCTTTCTGCGCCTTTGCTTTCAAATCTATAAAGTGGGGATAAAAATAGTTCTGTTGGGAACGTGAAATGAGTTGAAGTGGGCAAGGCACCTGCCACTGTGCTTGGTACAGAGGAAGAGTTCAGCAAGTATTTGCAGCCACGATCTGTGGCCGGTTCGGAGCTGCACTGAGCATCGCGTGCCTGCGAGTCCATCGTGTCCAGCTGGTTGAAAATCACAAGCTGCAGCAAGGTCCGAACAACACCAGTTCTGTAAGGTGTAATCATATGGGTACGCAAATTTGTAATAAAAGTATAAAATTGTGGGGTGCCTGGGTGGCTCAGTGGGTTATTAAGCCTCTGCCTTCAGCTCAGGTCATGATCTCAGGGTCCTGGGATCGAGTCCCACGTCGGGCTCTCTGCTCAGCAGGGAGCCTGCCTCCCCACCCCCCTCTGCCTGCCTCTCTGCCTACTTGTGATCTCTCTCTCTCTCTCTGTCAAATAAATAAATAAAATCTTTTTTTAAAAATTATTTATTTATTTATTTATTTGACAGACACAGATCACAAGTAGGCAGAGAGGCAGGCAGAGGCAGAGAGAGAAGCAGGCTCCCCGCTGAGCAAGGAGCCGGACGCGGGGCTCAAGACCTGAGCTGAAGGCAGAGGCTTTAAACCACTGAGCCACCCAGGCACCCCAATAAATAAAACCTTTATTAAAAATGTGCATGTGAATGAGAAACATGAAATTCAGAATGTGTGCACTAACACACAGGGATTTCAGTTGTGTCTGTGGTGTTTTGTGGCTTAAACCCTGATGATATTATTACCTACACATTGGGGTATACCTGGTTTTTTAGGGTTTTTTTGTTGTTGTTTTTGTCAGAGAGAGAGAGAGACAAGCAGACAGAGGGAATAGCAGGCTCCCCACTGAACAAATAGCTCCATGCAAGTCTCCATCTCTGGACTCTGGGACCATGACCTGAGTTGAAGGCACAGGCTTAACTGACTGAGCCACCCAGGCATTCCTGATATATTTCCTAATAAAAACCTCTGTTAAAGACCTAGCAAGCCCTGAAGCCTCAGGTAAACGTCCAAGGTTGTTCTCTCTCTAAGGGAGACCATGCATGGAAGGGACATCTGTCTGAGGGACAGAGGAGCCACTATTCCTGGTGGGAGAAGAGCATAGCAACTGATGGGCGGTGCCTAGGTCCTGGGATCTGGTGACTAGAGCACCTGGGGACTGTGCCTGAGTCCTGAGGGTTCCAGGCTAATGGTGTGGGATCATAGGAATGGCGAATAGCATAAATGTGATCTTCTGATAGGTAATGGTGTCCTGCAGTGCTCTGTCGAGGACTTCACAGCTGCCTCTGAGCTTCTTAGAAAAGAGCCCTGGGGGGCCTGGGGGGCTCAGTGGGTTAAAGCCTCTGCCTTCCGCTCAGGTTATGATCCCAGGATTCTAGGATCGAGCCCTGCATGGGGCTCTCTGCTCAGCAGGAAGTCTGCTTCCCCCCCCTCCCCCACCTCCTTCTCTACCTACTTGTGATCTCTGTCTGTCAAATAAATACATAAAAATCTTAAAAAAAAAAAACAAAAAACAGCCCTGTGAATGAGCGGCAGCATCTGCCATGCGGTGATTGATTAGTGATGTCTGTCGCAGGTGGGGCTGGCAGAGAGGATCTAGCGCTGCTCTGCCTAGAATCCGGCACCAAACCAGTCTGGGCTTTAGATTCAGGCTCCACTCTGATACTTGGCACTCGAAGGTCGGTGACCTGCAGCGTCAGTGTGGTCATATGTACGCTGCAGATGACAACGAGATCATACCTAGTTTACAAAGTTGCTTTGAAGATGGAAAAGAATGAGCTGAGAAGAAAGCTCTTTGCGTATTGCAAAGTGCTCTCCCACTAGAATCCATTCCCATTGGCGAGACTGGTGGGAACGCAGGATTAACGAAGCCTCCTAATTTTAAACACCCGGGTGGGTGGGAGGGGCAATGACCGCTGGGCCTCCATGCTTGAAAGGGGCCTGTGAGCAGAGGCTGAAGTGGGGCATGTCCGGCAGGGAGGCTGCCTTGATGTCTCTGGAGGATTTTTGTTCCTCAGAAACCAAGAGGGCCAGGTCATCGTGCCCAAGGCGGGCCCCTATGGGCTCAGTAAGCCAGTGCATGAGCTCCAAAGGGAAGGATCTGGGGAAGACAAACACATAATGTAACCAATAAAAAATATCTGTGGGTCAGGGGGCAGTGGCTAGGGCCCCATCGTTCCCCAACTCAGCCCCAGCTCCAGACTCGGACCCCCAGTCTTTCCCTCTGCAGATCCTAGCCCTGGGTGGAAGGGAGACAGTCATTGAGTGTGCCTGTGGCCCCTCTCCAGAGGCCACAGCCCTGGAGGAAGTCTGAAGGATGCAGCGTTTATGGCTGGCCCTCCCTGAGGCGTGGCAGGGATGAGGGACACAGAATGGGTAATGTTTAACCACGAATGGCTGTGCATGGCTTCCCCGGGACTGGCTGGGCAGGCTTCAGGGTCCCCCAGGGCAACTTCTCACTTAGAAGGGGAAGACACTAATGCCAGGAGAGGTCAGGTGGCCTGGGGGGAGGGGACAGAGCTGGAGGCAGGACACGCCTCTCTCCTCAGAGCCCTGAGTCCTCCTCGACAGCCAGGTTGGAAGGGCCTGATCCTCTAGGTCAAAGCCGGCGGCCCCCACAGGGGGAGGCTCGGAGGCCTCCTCAGACTAGAGCTACAGAGTGAGACCTTGGGCAATGGGTCTTTCCCGTCTTACTCTCTGAAGTATCCCCAGGGCCTCAGACACTGCCTCCACATAGGGGGTGTTCAACAGATGAATGAACAAACGAGTCCCGCCGACAGCTTGTCAGAAACCCCAGAAGCTTCCTGGACGAGTAAAGAAGCTTTGCCTTACTCATTCCCATAGGACCTGCCTTGGATTCCTGGGGGTCTCTCCTTAGCCAGCCTCCTCATTTTACCAGTGAGGAAACAGAGGCACAGGGAGGATAGAGTCCCCCAGCTGGTTTGAGAGACGCCCTGCCCAGTTCCTTCCCACACCTTACAGGCTTGGAGGGATGCTGGGGATCTCCAGTTATCCAGGAATGAGGAGCCTCTGGCTAGTTCTCCCCCGCCGTATGCACCCCTCACTTGAGGCCTGGTCTTCTCTGCAGAGCAGAGAAAGAGGCCAAGTGGTTGCAGATGGAGCCGAGACTGGCTATCGACCTCCCACTTGCAACTGTGGATGGGCCTGCCTGGGAGTGACGCCTCGGCCACGTCGGTTCACACTCAGCCCAGGACAGGAGCCACACACCCAGCACATCAGCTGGCAGGGAGGGGTGGGGAGTCCACAGCAACAGAGGGCACTTCCTTCTGGGGAGATCAGAGGTCTTCCAAAGAAAAAACTCTTCAGCAGGGACATTGAAGGACAGGCAGGTTCCATCCTGGGACCTGGAACTTTTTTTTTTTTAAGATTTTATTTATTTATTTGACATATAGAGATCACAAGTAGGCAGAGAGGCAGGCAGAGAGAGAGAGAGGAGGAAGCAGGCTCTCTGCTAAGCAGAGACCCCAATGCGGGGCTCAATCCCAGGACCCTGGGATCATGACCCGAGCTGAAGGCAGAGGCTTAACCCACTGAGCCACCCAGGTGCCCCTGGGACCTGGAACTTGATCTCGGGCAAGTCACTTAACTCTTCATGCCTATTCCGTAAAATGGGCATGATAAAAAAGGATTTGATGAACTCGTATGGAAAGGGCTTAGTACAGCGCCTGGCACATAGTCACATAAACATCGGTGAAACTTTTAACAAAGGTATTCAATAAATATCTGATAAATTTTTGTTCACATAACCAAAGGCTTGTATTTTATTTCATTATTATTATGTATTTTAAGAAAAAAGTGGTGGAGGGGCACCTGGGTGGCTCAGTCGGTTAAGTGTCTGCCTTCGGCTCAAGTCATGATCCTGGAGTCAGAGCCTTGGGATCGAGCCCCATGTTGGGCTCCCTGCACAGCGAGGCGTGTGCTTCTGTCCTTACCCCTGCTCGTTTTCTCTCTCTCTCCCTATCTCTCTCTCTCTCAAATAAATAAAAAATCTTAAAAAAAAAAAAAGAAAAAGAAAGGAAAAAAAGGTGGAGTCCATGAGGGATGAGATTTTTCCCCCTAATGAAATACCTTCTCAGTGGGAAAAAAAAGTGTTGCTGTCCCTGTGTAAGCAGCAGTACTTAATATTTGAAATCAGTTGCTCTGGGTGCCTAGGTGGCTCAGTGGGTTAAGCCTCTGCCTTCGGCTTAGGTCATGATCTCAGGGTCCTGGGATAGAGCCCTGAGTCGGGCTCTCTGCTCAGCAGGAAACCTGCTTCCCCCCACCCCCGCCTGCCTCTCTGCCTATTTGTGATCTCTCTCTGTCAAATAAGGAAATAAAATCTTCAAAAAAAAAAAAAAAAAAACCTTGAAATCAATTGTTCAAAATTGATGATGCTTATAAAGGAGTATTAATAAAAGATGGGAAATTAGGATTCTCTGGTTCTTAGTTTTCTAAGTGATCTAACTCCAGCTTATGTTACTGACATGTCTAGAGATACCAGCTTCAGGCACAGCTGGATCATGAAGCCCAGACAACATCATCAGGAGCCAGTGTCTCACCCTCGCTCCTCTGGTAAGATGGGCAGGGGGAGGGTGCATCCCTCCACCCTCAGCCACTCTCCCACGTTTCCACAAAGGGCCAGGACTTAGTTTGGCTTAAGTCATGTGGCTATTCCTGACGTCAGTCACTGTGGCCAGGTGGTAAGGAAAGATAGGCAAGGCTGGGGTCCCAGGCCCATCCTGGAGTCCAGGAGAAGGGGTCAGCCCTGTCTTAACCCAAGGGATGAGGGGTGAGGGAAAGGCAACCCCCACAGGGCTGTTGGCAGAAGGGGAAACGGATACTGGGCTGACGCCACCATCTTGGCTCAGATTCAGATATGTAGAGGCTGCCGCTAGCCGTCCATCCCTTGGAGGAGTCACATCCCTACGTGGGATGGACTCCATGCCTCCCATCTCTGACATCAACCCTGCACCCCCTCTTTCCATTGCTTCACAGGGACCCATGGGTGGAAAAGTGGTGGCTTGCTGAGGGGAAGATTCCAGATGAACCGAATGCTGGGCTGGGACTAGGGCAGCAACATCGTGGGGACTCCCCAGGGCCAAGGGAGGAGAGGACTTTCACTTCAGCAGGGCACCCTGTGAACACCCGTCCCAGCTGCAATCTGCAAATAGCCGGGCTTCCCAGGAACTGGGTGACTTCACCAGGGCTCAGTGACCCCGTCACTGCTCAGTCGTTAGTGGAAGCTGGGGCAAGTGCCCAGCCCTCGTCCTGCCGGGCCCCCTGCTGCCCCCAAGCTTTGTGCTTCTGATTCTCTGTTCCTTGAACATACACATCTTTCCAGGAAGCGGACTCAAACTTTGGGAGTGGGCAGGGAGTATAAATAATCAACAAGTGAGTACTAGGGTCAGCAAACCTTCTCAGGGCTTTGCAGGATGTGGCCCGGGGGACGGCAGCTCCTGGATTTTTCAGGTGGCCCAAGTCCCACACAGGCTATGGTTCAAATCCCTGCTCTGCCACTTCCAGCTGTATGACCTTAAACATGGCCCTTAAACATGGCCCGTGGTTTCTCTGGGCCTCAGTTTCCTTGTCTGTAGAATGGGGGTAATACCCTGGCCAGAGCTGTCATGATGATGGAAACCATGGATGGAAAGCAGTCACCAGGAGTGCCTGGGTGGCTCAGTGAGTTAAGCATCCGACACTTGATTTTGGCTCAAGTCATGATCTTAGGGACATGGGATCAAGCCCCACGTCCGGCTCTGCGCTCCGGGTGTGAAGTCTGCTTGAGATTCTCTGTCTCCTTCTCTTCCTCTCTGCCCCTCCCCCTGCCCACACACTCTCTCTCAAAATAGATGAAAATAAAATCAGGAAGGAAAGAAGGAAGGAAGTCACCAGCAAATTCCCTCTTTCCCTCTTTTCCCAGAGTCCCTGGCCAGCTCTCCCTTGTCCCATCTCCACTGTCTGCTGCAGATGGCAGAGAAGCCCAGGCTGGGAACCCTGCTTAGATCCTAGACACCGAGAGGAGGGACTGTCACCTGGGCCTTTGAGGGAGCCTCTCCACTCTCCAAATGGCATTCCCTCATGTTGTCTTTGGTGCTGGTTCCCATAAGAGCTCTGGGCCTTGTTTGGAGGCTAATGGGTGGGTGGGTGGGGGCGGCCAGGCAGGGTCACAAGCCAGAGTCTGGAGAGGCTTAGTGGGGTGGGATATATAAGCCCAGCTCAGTGTGGCCAGTGTCTCCCAAGCAAGAGACAAGAGAGCATGTGTCTTGGCTGACCCATCCCAAGTACTGTACCAAGGGCGTCAAGAACTTTGGCAAGGCAGCTTGGCCGTAAGTTGAGGTCAGAAGGCTCTGGAGACTGCCCACCTGGTCTTCCTGGGATGGAGCCCCGAGTCGGGCTTTCTGCTCGGCGGGGAGTCTGCGTGTCTTTCCCCCTCTATCTTCCACATCTCCACCGCCTGGCTCATGCTCTCAATCTCTCTCTCTCAAATAAATAAAATCTTTTTTATTTAAAAATCCGGGGCGCCTGGGTGGCTCAGTGGGTTAAAGCCTCTGCCTTCGGCTCAGGTCATGATCCCAGGGTCCTGGGATCGAGCCCCACATTGGGCTCTCTGCTCAGCGGGGAGCCTGCTTCCTCCTCTCTCTCTGCCTGCCTCTCTGCCTACTTGTGATCTCTGTCTGTCAAATAAATAAAATCTTTAAAAAAAAAAAAGTATTTAAAAATCCATATCCAACACCAGAGGTGGATAATCGAGGAGGGGGAGATGGAGGAAGGTGGTCCGAACACACCAACTTCTAGCTGCAAGATAACGAAGTACTGGGGGCGATGTAAGGTGAGACCCCCCAGGCCCAGAGCTAACAGTGCCTCACGAGGTATAGGGAAGTTACGAGAATAAATCCTAAGAGTTATCATCGTAAGGAGAATTTCTTCTCCTTTTTCTTTTTCTTTTCTTTATTGTATTTACATGAGAAGCTAAACCTATCGCAGCAACCATTTCACCAGGTCAAACCATCATGCTGTAGACCTCAAACTTATGCGGTGACCGAGTTCAATCATTTTGCCTCTCAGGTTGCCCAGGGAAGGCATAGCTACCACGCATCCCACCAGTCCGCTCACCCCGCCAGGCGCCGTGGCCACGAGAAGCCTGGGCACAGTATCGCTCTCGAGGACCCCACAGGCACACGTGGACGTGTTTGTTGGAAGAGCTCAGGCTCTCAAGTCCTTCCGCCACTCTAAAGGATCTGGAAAAGCCTAAGGATGTCATGTGCCCTTGGACGGAGGTGTGCGTGAAGACTTTGTTTTGTCATCTGTAAGCTGGAGTGAGGCAGCTGGGCCAAGGCCTGGAGTGAGGAGGCTTGGACACTCCTGCTTGCCCTATGAGGCATTCGGCCGGGGCCGGCACGTCGTACACACCCACCGGGGACAGCGCCTTTCCTGGGTGCTTGCGGTTTACAGGAAGATCAGGGGTGGGAGTCCTAGAACAGGCCAGAGCAGAACTGTGGTCTGAAGGCCACGGCCATTCCAGCATGCGCACTCCACCTTTCCGCTCGCCGATTACTGATTAGTAGGACAAGACCTACACTTGGGTATGCTGCCACCAAGTGATAGTTGATGCTTCTGTCATTCGCCTGGGCTCCAAAGATGACTCTCACTAGGAAAAAAAAAAATAGGCTTTCTCTTATCAAAACTATAGCTTTAAACAACGTCCATGAATGTTATACTTCAGAAGAAACAAATAGAAAATTCATTGAGGGCAAGCTTAAAAATAAATATTTATATACACAAATAAATAAATAAAATGCTTAGGTACGACTCTGGCCAGTGCTTCATGACTAGCAATTTAAGTAAGGCAGGGTCTTTTCGCCCGGCTTGCTGTTGTTCCAGGATAAAAAGAGTTCTGTTACTTTTCTTTTATGATTCTAAAGGTGATACTTGAAATGTATTGCCGACTCAGAAAGGGTGCACCTCTTACAATTAAAATAATACCAAAATTTCCTCCCCAGACATTGGGTAAACACATGTGCCTTTTTAAAAGGCATCTAGAGCTCCATCCTCAAGTTCTAATCCATTTACTGGGCCTCAAGAAACTCTCCCTCCAACAGCAGGTTTCACAGTTGTTAAGATTTGGTATTTCAATTTCCCGATTCTCTCTTGTGAATATATATATATATTCACAGTTTTATATATAGCGACAGCTATATGGATCTTTCCAGTTTTCTTCCAAAGGTATTCCCTAAAGATTTGACTTTCTTAAGAGCACCCTTTCTTCCTTTCGATGAGGCAAATGAAAATACCGCCTGTCACTCACGAGGCCCCTGCCCTTGTCTTTAAAACCTGCTCTGCCCCTCCTCTCTACCCTCCCGTCTAGATCTCTAGCTACAGGTGATTGTTATTTTTCTAAGATTTATTATTTATTTCAAAGAGAGCACGAGTGAGTGTGCATGTGCAGAATCTCAAGCAGACTCCATGCTGAGATCGTGACAGGAACCCAAACCAAGAATCCAATGCTTAACCCACTGAGCCCCCCAGGTGCCTCCCTAGGCAATTATTATTCAAAAGTTAAATATAGGACCGCCTGGGTGGCTCAGTTGGTTAAGCATCTGCCTTTGGCTCAGGTCATGATCCTGGGGTCTTGGGATGGAGTCCTGCATCGGGCTCTCTGCTCAGCGGGGAATCTGTTTCTTCCTCTGACCTCTCCCCTCTCCTGCTCTCTCTCTCTCTCAAAAAAACAAATAAAAGTAAAATCTTTTTTTTTTTTTAAGAAAAATCTTGGGACGCCTGGGTGGCTCAGTTGGTTAAGCAGCTGCCTTCAGCTCAGGTCATGATTCCAGCGTCCTGGGATCGAGTCCCACATTGGGCTCCTTGCTTGGCGGGGAGCCTGCTTCTCCCTCTGCCTCTGCCTGCCATTCTGTCTGCCTGTGCTCGCTCTCTCTCCCTCTCTCTCTCTGACAAATAAATAAAATCTTTAAAAAAAAAAAATCTTAAAAAAAAAAATCTTAAAAAAAAAAAAGTTAAATACAGCTACATCCTGGCCCACTATTTCACAGAGCTTCCAGGTTTTTGTTTTTAAAGATTTATTTATTTGACAGAAAGAGAGATCACAAGTAGGCAGAGCAGCGGGCAGGTGGGGGGGGGGAGCAGGCTCCCCGCTGAGCAGAGAGCCCGATGAGGGGCTCGACGATCCCAGGACCCTGGGATCATGACCTGAGCCAAAGGCAGAGGTTTAACCCACTGAGCCACCCAGGCGCCCCCCACGTAATTTTTTTGCTAATGCTGCCAGGTTGAATCATATGAAACTGACATCTTTGTAGTCAAAACAGTCAGATCTGGGTGATTTCCTATGGTTCAACGAATTTGTGACCCTAAAGTAGTTTCTCATTCTGCTTAATGGGCTGCACCCCATAGGAAAACACTGTTTTGTGAGTCATTGTTATTACTGTTATTTTTGAAATTAAAATGGGATTGAAAATGGATTTTTCACTTAATGTGGCATGACATCTGCTCCATCTCACCCTTCTCAAAAGCTTCATGGGATCTACCACACGGGTACCCCAGGTAACTGATTCCCCATTGGAGGCATTTACTTTTTTCCCCCGTTTCTTGTTGTTCCAAACCCTGTCACGGTGAACTTCCTTATCGTAACTGTTCATGTGCTGGTGCTGGAATTTCTGGAGCATAGACTCTCGGAGGCAGGGCGGTACGCATCTTGTGATCTTAGTTGTGTCTCAAAGCCTTTGGATAGGAGTTAGGCTGCTGTCTCCCCTTTTGTGTGCCTGTTGGAGGGTAAACAGTACTGACTGAGGGCGCTCCCCCAGGCACCCTGTTCTGTCCAGCCCTCCTCTGTCCACAACCTTCTTCTGCAGGACTGGAAGCTCAGGATTGCTCCAGACTTCTCCCTCTCTAGGCCAACACTATGGAGAGCCCCTGAAAAAACGGGGCATCTTCCTGTCAACCAGACCTGAGTTTCCCTGCTGCCCAAGCTCCTTCTAGATTCTCCCGACGTCACTCTCACATCTACAAAAAGGAAACAAAAAGGTTGCCAGGGGGATGAAGTAGAAAACGTGGAGTGCTTTATAAACAATTCACAGAAATCAGCCATTATCTTCAGCCCTGGCGGAACTGTTCTTTCCAAGCAGTAGAGAGCCTTCTACTAGCATTTACCCTGCAGTGGGCTCGGGAAAGGGCTCAGCCTAAGACCATAAGCTTAGCTCCCCATTCTGAGTTTACAATTTGCCTACTCCCTGTCCTCGTTTTCTTCACGTCTTCAGGACTTGAGCGCTGAGGTGAAGAACCAAACTCTTGAACAAGGTCATTCGTTCAACGAATATTTATTGAGTACCTACTATATGCCAGCCACGGTATAAGCATCATGTGAAAGGGCTTCTCAACGGAGAGACCACGGACGTCCTGGGCGGGACAATTCTTCACGCAGGCCTGCTCCCTACCTTCAAAACGACAGGGGCTGTACCTTGCAATTGGGACACCCCAAAAAATGCCCCCGCACATTTCGAAACGGCCCCTAGGGGGCATTTTCGCCCGCGATGTAGAATCCCCCGCCCACCCTCGACAAACCCAGGAGACGGGGGAAGGGGGAAGCCCGCTAACTGGCAAGTTGAGGATGATGCCGAGGTCCAAAACGAGCAAGATCTGGACCTTGTTTCCGGGGAACGGGGCCAATAACGAGCTTGTCAACCTCCTTGGGGCTCTGAATTCCGACTCCTGGGTCACAACTCCTACTTCCTATGCAGCCAAGATACAACCCGGGTTTCCATTCCCAGCCGAGCCTGGGTTTCTGGGGAGGAAGGAATGGCGGGGCCCTCGTACCCCAAGCCCTTGGGAAGCGAAGGGTTAACGCGGGAGGCCCCGCAGAAACCCCCAGCACCGCTAGAGGGACCAGCACGGCCGGCCGCCTTCGCGGTCACGTGGGAAGGAGGGCGGGACCAAACGAGAGGCCAACCAATAGGCTGCGCTGTCGGTGGGCGTGATAGCCAATAGGAGCAGGGAGAGGAGTCCCGGGACTAGGAAGAAACGGCGGCCGGGAGGGGGCTACAGGGACCATGGGGCTTCTGACCATTCTGAAGAAGATGAAGCAGAAAGAGCGGGAGCTGCGACTGCTCATGCTGTATCCTCCCGGACGCCGGAGCCGCGAGGGTAGCGGGGTGGGGGAAGCCTCGCCGGGCGGGCGGTGCCAGGCGCCCCCTACCGGGCGCGGGGGGCGCGGCCGGCGCGCACCAACTGCCCATTGTGCGTCACGCACGTGGGCCCTACCAATCGCCCCGACGCCGGGCCGGGAGGAGGCCGTACCACTGGCTCGGGGCGGGGGGACTCCGTTCTCAAGGCCAAAGGTGAGGGCCTAAAGGCGCAGCGGCCGGGCAAGATGTCCTTATGTAGTGGGGGAGGGGGGCTCGGAGGCGTCTCGGATGCCACCACCCGTTGGTCTGGCTCGAGCGTGAGGCCCCTGTCTCCCCTGGCTCTGACCTTCCTCCCCCACGTCCGAGGGTACCAGGCCCCGGCCCCGCCCTCAAGGTCGGAATTCCGGGGGTGTGCGGGGCGCACCCTGCGCTCCTAGCGAGGTGGGTGTAGACCGCGCCGTTTGTTTTTTCCGTGTGTGCAATATCTCGTCTTTGTGACCGCACGGCCGGTCAGTAACCACCCGCACCACTACCCCGACGGTTTGTAGGCCCGAGGGCCCCGCCGACCTTCTGAGTCCGGTTAGCGGGCGCCTGCACTCGCGCCCTCTTCTCCGTTCCAGGCGCCATTGCGACTCTGCAATCCCAGAGCTGGGCGGGTCTTACCCGGAGCTCCCGTATCCCGGCAGAGAAGACACTGAAGTGCGCAGATAACTTTATAATACTCAAATCGTGTTTTTTATAAAGAGCTCAGAGAAAGGCACAGAGAATTCACTCATCCGATTAAATATTTATTGAGTGCCTACCCTGTGCTAGGCACTGTCCTAGGGGCTGGGGTAGAACAGCAAAACAAATCCTTAACGTCAGGGACGGTCTGTAATGCTGTGGGGAGAAAGATGTTGACAAAGCAAATAGGTAAAATGTATAAGATGCATGGAGAAGAATGCAGTTTAAACAAGGTCAACGAAGGCCACAAAGAGAAAATGACAGTAAAGACAGATGAGGGATGAACCATGTAGCTATCTGGGGAAATTTGTTTAAGCAAAAGGAACAACAAGTGGAAGGTCTGGAAGGAGGTGCTCAGCTGGTGTGTCGAGGAGGGCCTGGTGGCTGGAGAGAGTGTGCAAGGAGATTAGGACAGAGGGAACAGAAGAGCCACTTCATGTAAGGCCTTTTGGTTCTTGGCTTTTCCTTTAAATGACAAGTGCCGGGGAGCGTGATGTGAGATGAAGTGTGAGCTTGCTGCACCACACACAGGCGCTGTAGCATGATGGCTTGGACCAGGATGGAAGCAGTGAAGCGATGGGTGTTGGGGGACATTTTGACCAGAGGCCCAGCAGGCATTGCTACGAGATTGGACTCAGGTGTAAGCCGGAGAGTGAAGTCAAGTCTGACTTCTAGGTTTCTGGCCTGAGCAGTTCAGAGAATGAAGAACCACTTGCTGAGATGGGGAAGGGATAGGGAGCAGGTTCAGAAAGATGAGAACTCGGGGTGTGGCACTCCCGTGTAAGTGTCAGATGGGCAGTTGGATAGAGGGACTGAGTCCAGGGGAGGAGCTGGGTGGGATGTGTACATTTGGAAGTCATGAGCATAAAGATGGTATTTGAAGTCGTGATCCTGGGTGAGAGCACTAAGGGATGAATATGGACAGAGGAGCACTGAGGCATGCCTGGATAATAGGCTGGGGCAATGGGAACCAGGCAAGGGAATGGAGGTGGGAGATGGGGAGGAAGAGGGGGGCTGAGGATTGCCCAGCCGGAGAAAAACGTGAGGTCTTTAGGGACTTTGGCCAGAGCAGTTTCAGGGAAGCAGTGGGAGCAAAAGTCTCATGGGTTCAAGAAAGAGCAGGAGGACAGAAATGGGAGAGGGTGAGTATGGACAGCATTTGGGGGGAGATTTGCTATAAAGGGGAAGAAATCAAGGAGTAAGTAGAGGGGAAGAGGGATCAAGAGCGGTTGTGGGGAGAGACTCCAGCTTGTCAGCGGATGGGAATGGTCTGGTGGAGGATGGTGGGGGTGGTGTGGGCATTGGAGATGAAGGCTGGGCCTCCAGACAGCTTTTCCCACCGTCATTCTACTGGTTTGAGTCCCCTGGGCCCCCTTTCGGGTGCCAGCCCTCTTAAGTATTGGAAGGATTGGATGGAGGGGTGGGGCTCCACTAGCTGCTGAACTCACCCATTCATTTGCACACTCAACTTAGCAGCAAAGGGTTTGGAACATTCTAGAAACAGGTGCGGGTGGCTACCTTCAAATACTTGCTCTTGCCGTTCTCTCTGTATGGAAGGCTCTTCCCTTAGTCCTCTGGAAAGCTGGATCCTTGCAGTTTGGGCCTCAGGTCTAGAAGGGCCCCAGCTAAAGAAGGCTCCTGCGGCGGCCCTCTGCGAAAACTCCTTAGTTGTATTTCTTATGCTCCCCACGAGCTGACGGTGCCTTGTTTCTCATTTGTTTGCCCTCTGTCGACTGTCTCCGTACTGGAGTAGGAGCTGCCCAGGGTGGGGACTTTGGCTCTGGGGTACCCCCAGCACTGGAAGAGAGCCCGGCACATAGTAAGCATTTATTAAATACCGTGGAGTAGCCTGAGCAGCCTTTGGTTAGGCAGAGGTGAGAAAGTCTTAAATGCTCCAACCTTTCCCACTTACCCTGGGCCAATAAATGTGTGTGTCAGGCACGGGCTCAACTAATATGCTATGTGGTGGGAAACAACTCCTCCCCTAAAAGAAGGGCCTGGGGACTTCTCCTTAACCTGCCGCGCCCCAGTGGCCTGGACAATGCTGGCAAAACAACCATCCTCAAGAAGTTCAATGGGGAAGACATTGACACCATCTCCCCGACGCTGGGCTTCAACATCAAGACCTTGGAACACCGAGGGTGAGCGGGGACCCTGCGGAGGGCTGGCCCTGGAGTAGGGCAGGGAGCATGGTTGAGGGGCCTGGCTGAGCCTCTCGCCACCAACCCCCCTTCCTGCCCAGGTTCAAGCTGAACATCTGGGACGTGGGTGGCCAGAAGTCCCTGCGGTCCTACTGGAGGAACTACTTCGAGAGCACGGATGGCCTCATCTGGGTGGTGGACAGTGCTGACCGCCAACGCATGCAGGACTGCCGGCGGGAGCTCCAGAGCCTGTTGGTGGAGGAGGTGGGCGGGGCACCTGCCAAGCCTGGGAAGCCAGGCTTCCAGCACCATCCAGCCCCCAAGACTCGGTGCCCAGGCATGGATACGCAAACCCCTTCCTCAGTGGATTCCCTGAGGGGCCCATGACCCCAGAGGAACACCTAGGGCGGGGTCTCTTTCTTCTCGGAGCACCCTTTAGGAGACAGAGACCACCTATATGCTTGGTCCCAGGAAGCCCCAAAGTGCTGTGGGCAGGACGTGCTATGAACTGAGACCTGGGTTCATGTCCCTCTGATGTCACTGCCCTGAGTTCAGGTTCTGCACCTGAATGGGGCTTTAAGGAGGATGACTCGAGGCCAGTGTGTGAAGCTTTGGGAGGCGGTGGAGCCTGGCTCAGGAGTTGGACTCTTTGCTGTAGGCCAGACACTTAGCCTCTCTGAACCCTCATGTCCTCATTTCTAAGATGGGCATTAGAATTAGGGGGATCATATAACTCATTATCTGGCCCCAAACAGTTTTCTTTAAATAAAATTTTAGGTTTACAGAAAAGTTGCAAGGAGTTTGAAGAGAACCCTGTCTGCTGTTCGTCCTGCTTCCCCTAGTGGTAACATCGCACATAACCACCTGCATTTGTCAAAACAAAGAAATTAACATTGGCAAGTTATTCTTGACTGTAGATTCTACTTACATTTCACCAGTTTTTCTATTAATGCCCTTTTTTTTTCTGCCCCAGGACTTGATCCAGGTTACAACACTTGAATTTAGTTGAAAACCAGGACACTTTTAAGAACGAAAGAGGGACTTGTTCCTAATTATGCAGGGACAACAGACATAAACAGGACCATTCTGGGCATACAGGGGCGCGGTCACCTGGTCTAGCACTAGCCACCTCCAGGGGGTGTCAGGCAGGTCCAGTGAGATTGTGGCTGTTCGTGCTCAGCCCTGGCCTGGCACCTCAAGGCCTTTTTTTTTTTTTTGCACCTCGAGGCCTTTTATCAGGCCCAGATTCACCTACCTACCTGGAGGGACTCCCAGTCAGAAACACACGTGGAAGGAACTGGAAGCAGAGGCAGAGAGAGAGGCCCAGCAGGGAAGTGAACAGTGGAAGTGCTACATGACATTGGAAGACCGAAGGGTCACTCCCAGCAGACCCCGTGGCCTTGGGATGATTGCATTCTTTGTACAGCTCAGGCCATCACAGAGCAATGTAGAACAAAGGGTTCATTATCTTGTCCATCACCCCCTTCCCATTTATGGAGGAAGAAACTGAGGCATGGAGGAGAGAGGTGCCTGCTGGGCCCCCACCTAGGGCTCCTTCCTTCCCTGCCCCCTCCCCACATATGGCTGGACTCACCAGGCACATCTACATTCATTGCCCTGTTTGGGCCTCTCCAACCACCCTGAGGCCTTACCCTAATTTTCCAGGTTGCTCTCTGACCCCGCCTGCTCTGGGTGATCAGAGGAGAGGCAGGGCTGCTCTCTGAGTCCCCACTCCCCACCTTCCCCATTTCTCTCCCCCCAGCGTCTGGCTGGAGCCACCCTCCTCATCTTTGCCAACAAGCAGGACCTGCCCGGAGCACTGTCCTCTAACGCCATCCGTGAGGTGAGTGCGGGCCTTGGCATAGGCCCATGGAGGAA